ATCACCAGCGGCACGATAAGCGCCAATATCCTGCAGGATATGTTAATTTTTTGGAGAGCTAAACCTGTATTATACAGTCCGTTTCTCTACCTGCACCGATCGTACGAGTCGCGAACACTGGCGTCTGTCTGAGACGAGTATACAGGCTTGTACGAAGGCGAATATGGCCCCAGTGTCAGTATTTTTGAAGCTGCGTCTTCTGCGAGTGGTGTATTGTTCTACTTCTTTCCTCCACGACTATGGAAGACTATAGCTGAGGCAAGCAACGAGTATTTCGACGAGAAAATTAATGAAAGAGTGGAAGGCCAGTACGAAAAGCAGAAGGAGAGGGAAAATAAGATTCTGGGTTCACAGAAAGTTCACGTGCTGTGATCAAGGCGTCACTTATTCAGACTCCACCCATCACGGCACGCGAACTCTGGGTATGTGTGGGGCTGCTCATGGCGAGGGTAATCTTGCCCAACAAAGGAAGATTGAGAACCATTGGAAGACGACCGACGAGGGGCATCCCATGCGGCCGCTTCGGGCTGTTCACGACGAGAAACCGCTTTATGCGCCTATAACGAAATCTACATTTCAGGAACAGCAACCCTTGCGCTGCTACAGATCGCGCATGGAAGCTTCGCATAGTGATGTTCTCCAATATCGCTTCAACGCGAGATACGTTGCACCTCCTGTCATGACCTTTGACGAGGCCATGTTGCCGTCAAGATCGTAGTTCAACAAGTTGAGAGTCTACATGAAGGACAAGCCCCATAAGTGTGTGTGTGTTGGAGGGGGGGGGGGGGGGGCAAGTTGTTCATGCTATGCTGTTCTACATCCGGCAACTGCATAAGGTTAGTAAGAGGATCGTGGCCAAAAGCACGCTCCTTTTTTTAGGTTGTAAAGTTCTCTTATCCCGTACCCTACACATTACTAACTAGACTATCATGTATCATACAGATTTTGAAGTGTATTGTGGCAAACGACAATCCAGTGCTACAGCGGCGCAAAAAGACACCAAGTATGGCCAGCCGCGGTTATTCGAAATCTGATTGAGTTCATTGGCACAAGTGGACAAGCATAAAAGCGGCTAATCGTCACTGATCGATTTTCCACGTCACAGTGCAGCTTCTGGCGCTGGGGTTCTACAGTATTGGTACTGTGATGACCAATAAGCGTGATTTGTGCACGGAGATTATTCTGAAGAAGAAGAAGAAGACGCGACCTGCCGGTGTGGCCCGTGGCATGTGTACGGTTGCACAATCAACTCTAGTTCCCGGAATACATACAGTGTGCTGGTGGGACAACCTCCCCGTTCATCTCTTGTGCGCCGGTGGAAGCGTCGAGCAGAACCGCGCCGTTCGTTGTGAAAAATCTGGCGAGAAGGTTGAGGTGCCGTGCCCAAAGATACTGAAGGTCGTTCATGGGCGGAGTCGACGTCCATGATCATCTCCGTCTTCAAAGGTAAAGTATATCCTGTATATACACGATATGGTTTATATAATCCTGTAATATTTACGTTATTGCAGGTATCCACTCCAACTTGCTCTCAAGTACAAGAAATACTACCGATTTCGTTTCTGGGGTTTTTTCAACCTTGCTATTGTAAACGCATTTATAGTTTACAATCGCAGACGCGCGATGGAAGGAAAACCAAATGAAGCATGTGAAGTTTCTGGAACAGCTGCATATGGTGCAGCGTCAAGAGTCTGACATGGATGCATTGCGCAGCAAAGACGG